TACCCCTCGCCGCACGATGGAGATTGTGACATTATGTACACTTTAAATGGAGCGACCTGAAGTACAAATTCTTTGCCAAATTTAAAAAAAAAATTTTTCTTTCCTTGGGGTGCTCGGGGATTCGGGGGGGGGCGCGTTCGTTCGACCCGCAGAACCCCCCCTGGGCTACGGCGTACTGCGCATTGCTATAGCTAGGCACCTTGCTCTGATGTAAGAGATTCGACCATCTAAAGTCTCTACGCGCCCGGTAGGGCTGTAGCACATTCCGTTAGGTTGGGGGGGGCAGTGGCGGATCCAGAGATTTCAAGGAGGGGGTGAGAAACCAGGTGGGGGTCTGGTAAATTTAAAATGTCTAGATCGCAGGCAGATAGCTATTTTGAGCAAGCTTTTGGTAAATGTACAGCGTTAATTCTGACTTACGACAATTCTTTTTAGTAGAACATTTCATTTTATAAAATTTTGCTCCAAAATCTAGGGGGGAAGCTGCCTTGACCTCCCCACCCCGCAGGCTACTGGCGCTGATACTACTTGGATGGTGAATGCCTGCGACTTTAACTGTCCCGCCCACTGCGAAGCACCTCGATCCCTGTGTACATAACCCGAGGATAAATGATCTCCTGCACTAACATACTTACTATACTACTACTATTGACTATACTACTACTACTACTACTACTTCCTATACTACTACTACTACTACTGGACTAACTACTACTATTACTACTTACTGACTACTACTATGCTGATTATATTACGTACTACCTACTACTATACTACTACTACTACTTAGGCTGAATACTCTCTCCTATTTCTAATACTATTTACTCCGCATGCGGCAATTGCTGTACCTTCGTCAGCACGGACCTCCTGTGTGCGATAACACGCGCACTAACGTGTCTGCCATTACTAACTACTGATTGGTGCAATGCTGGACTTCGACGTGCCTAGCAAGGACACCTTGCCTGTGCTAGAGATCAGCGGCAGCTCGTCTTCTATTCTTAACTACTGAGGCATGATTGGGTGACTTAATTGCCGCCGCCAGGCACTTCTCACGTGTATAGGCCGCTTGCCTAGTATTAAACTATCCTGAAGGTGCGAATGCCCTGCACTCCTATTTCCCCAAGTTATGCTCCTTCTGATCTTACGATAGGACTGGCATATGGCCGTTATACTAACTATAGTAGAGTGTGAATGCTCGAAGCTATAGGGCCCGAACAGACGACCTTAGTCACTGTAGATTATTACGGTATGAGGCCCGCTATGTCTAATATCGGATGAATGAATTGACTTCGTAACATCACCCGGCGTGTTCATCTGGAAATGTTATTTAACTGCTAACATAACTAACTAATCTACCAATTAGTGAATTAATTTAACTAACTTAGCAGGAAAGTAGTGTTAGGATGTGCTGCATGATAGATCAGACCAACGCTCTTCTTATACTGGTGTGCAGATTGACTGTCAGCTATTGCTTCGTCAGCGAATGCTGAACATTTTATTTATTCAGTGGGCCGTGTGTGTGTTGTAAAGAGTTCATCAGTGTCGTTCAACGGTTCATATCATGTTTATCTGATTAAGCTGATTGTGATGTACCTGTTTGGTGTCGTGTGAGTGTGTGTGTGTGTGCCGAAGGCTGTGTGTGTGTGTGTGTGTGTGTGTGTGTATGTGGTGATGTGCTGTGTGTGATGTACGCTAAGTGCGTGTAGCACAGTGGCAGTGTGGTGTGATGTGTGTGTGTGATGTGTGTGTATGTGGTGATTGATGTTGCTGTGTGTGTGTGTGTGTGTGTGTGTGTGTGTCTGTAGGTGCAGTGATGCGTGCGCTGCTGTGTGTTGTGTGTGTGATGTGTGTGTGTGTGTGTGTGTGTGTACGTGTGCGTCGTTGCGTGTGCGTGTGAAGTGAGCGCGTCGCGCGCCGTGTGTGTGTGCGTGCTGTGCTGTGCGTGTGTGTGCAAAGGTGTGGCTGACGTATGTGTGGCTTGCTGTACGTCCGGCGCTGGTGCGGTACGTGAGTACTTGGCGTCGACGTGCGTTACGTGCGTAGCCAGCGGGTGAGCACGGTCTGTATTTCCTCGCTCGATTTAAGGTAGTGCTGGTGCACACCAGAAGCTCACCATGAGAATACATTAATAGTGTTTGCGCGATGATGATTGACTTCTAACATCAACGGCGGTGTTAATCTGGTAATTTAGATTACGGCTAACAATAACTAACTATCTAGCAACTTAGATGAATTTATTTTAGCTAAATAGCAGGAGTTTAGGGTTAGGTTTTGTGACATGATGGATCAAGACCAACGCGCTCTTCTTATTACTGGGTGTGCAATGATGTCAGCTATTGATCAGTCACCAGAAATGGGACATTTTATTTATTCAGTGGGCGTGTCGTGTGGCTGTTTGTAAAGAGATTCATCAGTCCAAATCATTCCATGTTTTATCTGAAGTGCGTTGTCGTGTGCGTGTGTGAAGTGTGATGTGTGTGTGTGGTGTGTGTGTGGTGTGTGTGTGTGTGTGTGTTGTGTGTCGGTGATACGTGGCGCGTGTGTGTTGTGTGTGTGTGTGAAATGTGTGTTTGTGTGCTGTTGTGCGGTGTGTGTGTGCGGCTGCGTGCCGTGCGGGTGTGTGACTTGTTGTGTGTGTGTGTGCGTGCGCGCGCGCGCGTGCTGTGTGGTGTGTGTTCGTGTGGGGCGTTGATGTGTGTGTATGGTGTGTGCTGTGTACGTTTGTGTGTCGGTGTGACTGTTGGCAGGACTCAAAGTTTTATTCTGAACAACCGTCACTACAAGGAGCTAAATATATTTAGCTCCTTGCGTCACTACAGTCACTCCATTTTCTCTAGCCCGGATCCTCTCTCTCATACCACGTGACTCCTAGCGTCATAAACATAATATAAGGACACTACATTCCTCCTCATCTTTAAAGAATAACTGCATTATGTTGAATGTACATTCTTACTTATTTGTCACTTGTAAAATTAAACTTAAACATTTCTCAAACTTTGTTTTGACTGGGAATACAAAAGAAACACAAATGCTGGATGCTCTTTCCACAATTGAACACATCATAATATGTGTATACATGTCACCTCAACATATTCTAACTTTCAAAGTGAAAACATTTTTTTCCTCAATAACACTCCACTGTTAATTCAAACTGTCAATAAACTGTTAATAACTGTTTTACTGTTCGAACATCCTTGAATCTCACACACACACTTTCTCACATCACAAAGTCCTTGAATCTTACAGGAAATTTCCTCTCCCTCTTGGATCTTCGCGTACTCAGGATTAACCGGGGTGGGGGTTCTGGGTCCTGGATCAGAGAATCATCAGAGTCCGGAGTAATGGACTCGTCTTCCATCTCTTCAGCATGATCTACGCGAACTTCCACTGGTTTGAAATGAGAGGAATTTTTTGTCACCTCTCGATCACCATATCAAGCTGTGATCATACTTCCTCTCTTCTCTCTAATCTCGAATGGCTGCGGATTGAATGGGGGATTAAGTTTGTTGTGTCGGGGTTGGCGAACTAACACACTGTCACCAACTGACATTTTACGTTCATCAGTGTGACGCCATTTGTCAGCATAAGCTTTCATCTTGCATTTGCTAACAGCATCTTGTATGGCAAGTTGAGCATGTACTCTAGAATGTGCAGGAATCTGAACCTTCTGCTCAGGAAGTACCGTTTTCATAGCTCGTCCTGTTAGCGCTTCAAACGGAGACATGTGCGTTGATGTGTGGGGCGTTGCTCGATACTGTCTCATGAAACTGTGCAGCTTTTGTTTCCAGTTCTGTCTCTCAGCTGTCGATGCTCTGATGTCTTTATTCAGAGTTGACATGAAACGTTCTGCTTCTGCATTAGCTTCTGGCCATAAAGGTGTGATGCGTCGATGATGGAAACCTAGATGTTTTGCAAAATCTGCAAACTCTCGACCATTAAATGGAGGTCCATTGTCCGAATTCACGACACTGGGTATGCCTTGTCTCGCAAAGATAGCATCCAATTTTGGAATAACTGCTTTCGCAGATGTTGATGTCACCAACTCTGTCTCTGGGTATCTGCTGTACTCATCTATAACAACAAGTAGGTATTCACCGGAAGGAAACGGTCCAGCGAAATCTACAGCAATTCATCCCAGGGGCTGGAGGCTAGTTTTGACATTCTCAGAGGTTCACGCTGTGTATGCGTGGTGCTGGAAGCTTGACATGGTATGCACGATTTTACCCGTTGTTCCACCATAGCATCGATCCCAGGAAACCAGACTTTCTCGTGCAGTAATTTCTTGGTCTTCACAATCCCTTGGTGTTCAATATGGGCAAGATCAATCGCACGAATTTTCAGTTGATCTAGGACGACAATGCAATTTCCCCGCAACACGACACCGTTGCTGACTGCAAGCTCATCTTTCACGTTCCTAAAGTCTGAAATTTCGCTGTCTTCCCAAAGCTTCAAATCTCCACTTCCAATGGCTCTGCTTAGTTTTCGCATCTTTGAGAT